AATAACAAAAGATTAAATACTTAGAAAACTTTATAGGAAACATACAAGAATAAAAAAATGTAATACTGTATTCAGGAATACAACATATTTTAATCTGATAAGTGCACTATTTCTCATATCTATATAATATACATATATAACACACTATTTCTTGATTAAGCAATTCAGTTTGTGGGGTTGCTGGTTCTCTTCAAATCAGTGACTTTGGTGCTTTCATACCTTTCTCCACACACATCCCCTCTCAGCCCACTTGGGCTTGAGAACCCCACAGTCCACAGCCCGCAGCTGCTGTCCCTGGCACCTGTCCTGTGTTCCAGCAGCCGAGGTCCGGTCGCTGCACTGAGGGTGCCCACTTGCCCATTTGGCACTGGAACTCTAAACTGGTCTCTCGTTCTTGTTAATAAACTGGATTTGCACTTGTGAAGCTTTTCCTGGCTTCATGGAGTAAGTCATGAAATGGACAGTGTTGTCTAGGTACGGCCAGAGCTTGCCCCAAATGGAGGGTACTTCAGACAGACAGAGGGTGGGTCAAGGTTACTAGCAAAAAAAAAAAAGGGTGGGGGAGGGGTGGTTTCGGGGAAAGCCACCTCTGTCATGGCAGGCAGGGGTGTCTCATGAGGCATCCTCACCGGTGTGAGTAGCAACCCCAGACTGAGGTTTAGGGTGACACTTTGGGGAGACGTTGATACTGCCATTGATATATTAAGTTCAGCAGTCTCTTTACCCCACACAGGGGCCTCTTTTGGGTCTGTTTTTCACACATGAATGTCTAACCCCCACCCTGATGTGCTCCTTAGCTCAGGCTCTGGCTCCAGCCAGCCCTCCTGCTCCATCCAGACTCAGCCCTCTGAGCACCCGGCCTCCCCTGCCTTGCCTCTTATGTTTCTTCTGCTTCTCCTGAAGAGTTTAGGCTGAAGGGTTCAGAAGGGAGGGGAAGTAAAAAAGGAGAGGCTGTAAAAAAGTAAAGGACACCAAAGAGAACTTAATTTTATTTTAGACTGATGCCCATAGCAAAATGTCCAGAAGGATGTAAATGAGATATTAACATTGTTTCTTTGTAGTTAAATTACAGGTAAATCTGGTCCTGGTATTCCTGCTTCTAATATAACTTCTGGGTTTTTAAAAATATAGTTTTCACTTATTTTTCACTTAGTAACACAGCTTTTGTTGGAGACTAAGTCAGCAAAAAAATATACTTTTTTTTTTTTTAAAAAAAGATTTATGCATACAGTTCTGGGGTACAGGCTAGAGGTGCAGAGAAAGAGTGGGGAGCAGAACAGGCAGATTGACAAAGTGCATTGCTGAGGGGAGCAGCGGGCAGGTCAGGAGAGGTCTGCTGAGCCATGTGGGCCAGCTCTCTGGCCTGGGACTGAATTTGAGC